GCATTACACTGTAACTAAACCCATTAGATTTTAGCCGACTAAATTTACTGTAGATTTAGTCGACTAAAATCGTATGATATTTAGTCGACTAAAACTAAAACAATTCAGATGACTAAAATATGACTAAAACTAAATGGTATTTTAGTCAAAAGACTATGACAAAAACTAAATCAAAATTTGCTGTCAAAATTAACACTGGAATAAAGTCGTTATTTTTGTTTTCTTCTCGTGCAAAAAGTATTCTCGTCGCTTCATAACGTTACGATTGAACCACTGATGGCAGATGGACTATTCTGACAATGTCTTTAATACTTTTCTGGACCTTGACAGTTTAATTTACTTGGCAGTCAATGGGACAGTCACAAGCCTCCCGGTTTTCATCCAAAATATCTTAAATTGTGTTCCGAAGACAAACTAAGCTTTTACAGGTTTGGAACGACATGTGGGTAAGTGATTAATGACAACATTTTCATTTTGGGGTGGAGTAACCCTTTAAGAGATTTAATTTTCATTAATGAATTAATCTACTTGAACAACCAAAATCTGCTTTTTACCTTTAAATGTACTGATAAACATCATAAAAATACAGGTTATTATAAAGGTAAATTATAAAGCCATATGATGACTGAAGTTCATCGTAAGTGGCCATGTCCTTAAACCATGGCCAATACTCATATATAGACGCTAAAACAATGCAATAAACATGAACTAAATAACAAAAATATAAGTATTTCAACTAAATAACAGAAAATTAAACACAAATCACCCTGATGTGCATTGCTGATAACAAAATATTAATAAACAAAGTTATTCATATAAAATATTATATAATCATATATGAATGAATAAATGTGACAGTTCTTTTTACAGTAAAATTAAATGTAATGTGACGTTAAACCATTTGCAGTTCACTATATTTGCAAGGTAACTTACAGTTAACCAAACCAACTGTTTTTTTTTTCTTCTTACTGTAGCATTTTTATGGTGTGTGTATATATATATATATATAATTTTTTTTTATTCTTGCACAAATGTAAAAAAAAAAATCACATAAAATTACTTAAAAATCACATTGAAATCATCTCACATACACTAGGCCATTTCACTTTAATATTTTCTGTTCTCATCTGTGAAGCACTTTGAGCTGCATTTTATCTAATAAAAGTATTATGCAAGTAAAACATAATCTTCTACTCTCACCAATAAGTCTCATTCTGGATAACTGTGTAATTCAATTCTAATGCCAGTAGGTCCATCACTAACTGTTTTCTACTATTTGCTTTCTTTATCACAGGAGATGGAAATCAAGAAAATGGCAAAGACCGGGAACAGAGACGCCTGTAAAGTTTTAGCCAAGCAACTTGTTCAAGTGAGGAAACAGAAAACACGTACATATGCCGTCAGCTCTAAGGTCACCTCCATGTCAACACAAACCAAGCTAATGAACTCCCAAATGAAGATGGCTGGTGCCATGGCTACAACCACCAAAGTAAGACCCTTCTGTCTTTTTAAACTCATGATAACATTTATAAAAATTTGTCCCAAGCCCCATCAATTGTAGCTCAGTTCATTTTAGGCAATCCTGACAGTGATTGAAAGCTTAACTCTTAAGTTAGGTTGAATATTGTGTGAAACTGCTGTGATTTCACATTTAAGTAAATTGGGCCGTTCATTTTGTAGTCCTAAAAACCAAGGAGAATTAGCATTTTCGAGCCATGGTTTCCCTCTGGAATTTCTAATGGGTTTTTTGAGTTATAGTTTTGGATTTATGAGTAAAATGGGGACTGTGGTGAACATTACCGGAAGCAACTTTCCTATTTTGTTTGTGAAATTCTCTTTAATGTGAAAGGATCTTAAAGTAATTTTAACCTTACTCATAAATGGAAAACCACTTTTCACAAACCCCATTATAAATTCCCAAGGGAAGTCACAGCTCGAAAATGCTAGTTTGTTTCCAGCTAGGGCTGCAAATTGACATTGTGCACAACTTAACAGCTCTATTAATCATGTATGTTATGACCTGTGTGGTTTTGGTTTTATTCGAATTTGTACTAATTTGAGCGTATATGTTGGTCTATAAATGCATATCTGGCACAGTATAGTGGCATGTCAATACACAACCATTATTCTTTGCATAAGTAGCCTAAAGTGCAAAATTCTAAAATGGGCATGAATCAAACAGTGGCTCGTTTGTTTGTGTCTCTGCCTTTCTCAAAACAACTTACAGACAATGCAAGCTGTCAACAAAAAGATGGATCCGAAGAAGACAATGCAGACCCTGCAGAACTTCCAGAAAGAGACCGCAAAGATGGACATGACAGAAGAGATGAGTAAGATGTTTTTATTTATTTATTTATTGTTATTGTGGGTGATTTTGTTAGTGAGTAAATGAGTGCACACTAATATCATTGCTCCAAAATAATTTGTGCACACTGCTACCATTCAAAAGATTAGGGTCATTATGATTGAAAAGAAATTAATACTTTTCAGGAAGTATGTATTAAATTGATAAAACATGACAGTAAAGACTTCAAAAGTTTGGGATTGTTTAAATAGATTAATACGTTTATTCAGCAAGGATGCATTAGGTTGGTCAAAATGTGGTCAAGACATTTATGTTACAAAAGATTTACATTTCAAACAAATCCTGTTCTTTTGAACTTTCTATTCATCGAAGAATTCTAGGGAAACATGTATCACGTTTCCACAAAAATATTAAGCAGCAAAAATGTATTTCAAAATTGATAATAATTAGAAATAGGGATGCAACGATACCACTTTTTACAGAACTAGGCTAGTACCGATACTTTTATATTTGGTACTTGCCGATACAGAGTACCGATATGATACCTGTATTTCCGTTGCATTTGTAATTTTTAAAAATATTGAGTACAGGAACCAAAATAATATGTATAATGTTTGTTGGCTTAGTTCATTTAGCAAATAGATATTTACTTCAGTTATTTTCACACTGATTATGCTTATTAAAATGTATTTTTTAGTTTAGTTTTAGTTTTAAGTTTTTGTTACTTTCACTGTTAATTTTTTTTGCTCTATGGTACTACGTCTTTAATTTAATAGCTGCTCCATTGCCGTATTAGTACTGTAATCACAAGACGTTTTGCTGTAATAATGCAGGGAAATACTCCTTATATATGAATCTTGTAACTGTGATTAACATATTTTCAGAAATATAAAAGTTGCGTGTTTTTGTTTTCATCTGAAACGTGCTGCGACTTATATTCCACAGCGACTCATATAATGCAGAACACTCATGAAGCAAGCAAAACATGCGCAACGCATGCACACATTTGAATTGGTGCAGAATAAGAGACGCATATAGCCTAGCACGTTTCACACAGGCTGCTAGTTTAACTTTCACCATAAAGTTGTGTATGCTTGACGTTTAAAATAAATGTTTATAGTGAATGCCCCTATAAATTTAGTTTTATATTTATGATTTAGTTTTAATCTAAATGATGGGTGTGCTAAAGAGAAAAAGGGTGCTGTGTGTACATTAATGAGGAAAAAAAATTAACTTAAATGATTTTAGCAAATGGCTGCAATATAACAAAGAGTGAAAAATTTAAGGGGGTCTGAATACTTTCCGTACCCACTGTATATTGAAAGAAGCAATATGAGAAAAGATCATGTTGAAAATGGAGTCAAAGCTCCAATCTCCCCGTAATTTAAATAAATAAGCCTATGTTTAAACCTTCATTTAGATTTTGCATTTGATTTACAGTAATCCTGGATAATGCATTTTTCAGAACGTCACTTTAGTACAAGATTTGCTGTTGCTTTTGAGGTTTGTTTTCTTCGACTCGAAAGAAAGAGAGATATCAGTCTTGAACAGAAACTTTAATATAATTCAAATAGATTTGACCCACTAATCTTATATCACATCATATACAGCCATCAAATAATCCAACAAGTTTACCACATATCATGTTTTTTTTTTTCCATTTATATCGTGCAGCCATAATATTCATGTAACTATAAAATCCCTATCCACCAATGTCAGCAGAAACAGACTTATTACTGTAGTGCATTAGTGTTGAAATCCATTTGTGTCCATTAAGGCTGCACAGTATATTGAGTTAAAAGAAAATGCATTGCAATATGATTTCAATGCATTAATCCATAGACTTTAAGGAGATGCAGAGAAAATACCTGGCATATGATTATGCGTATGTGTATCATATGTGACAACTAGGCAGCAGTGATGCAGTGTGAAGCAGAGGACCTACAACTGAACCTACAAATGTTTTTGCATTCAAATAAGGCCAAAATGAGGAAGTACCTCGGTTGTGTGGGAGTATTTTTTACTTTAAATGTGATGACCATGCCTAATCAGAAGTGGTTACAAAACCTGTAGACCACAGTGGCTATTCATAAAAATACACCAAACCTCTTTAGTCTGTCTGAGCACGAAAACTTTTGGAAAAAAAAAAAGTCTGCATGCATGGTTAGCTCTAACCCTCTTCCCGGACAGCAGCAATCCAGTGGTTTAGGTTTTGATCTAATTAAGCTGGCAACATTTAGATTGATATGTGAAAAATATACCACACAACAGTAAATTTCATTAAGTAATATTTGCATACAAGTGTTGTTTATAAATGTTCAAGTCACGTTTTTCATGTAAACGTTTTTTTACTTTAAAATGCCTCTTAATTTGCATAAAGCCAGCCCCTATCTCCATATAAGGGAATTCTGCACAATGTCATCTGTACAGCTATTTGTCACTCTTTGCAAATGTGTCCTTATGTTCTGCACTCTTCCCTGAGAGCACACGCAGCAAAATCTTTAAATAAAACACATTTGCTCATCCGCACAGCATGGATAAAACTTTTATTCCAGTGGTGAATGGGTTAAATACAGAAACTCTTGTTAGAATCACTGGAGCAGAACTCAGTAGGCTTGTGCTGAACAAAAACACTGGTGTTTTCTGTGGATTGAGTGGATTCTGCCTAACTTAAAAACCTCTGATTTGCATTCATGCGCTGTGAGTGGCTCAACTGCAAAAACATATATAAATAGAAACCTTCACAGAGCACTCACACCGATATGCACCGCAATATTTAAAAGCAGCAGCCTCTGGGCAGGAACCAAATTGTCAGTACTGCAAAAAGACTATCATTCGTTTTGGTTAACATTTCAGTACTGACTTACTGGTACTTTTTAAACAACACTAAATTAAAGTGTGAACTTATTGATTCATCATCATTTCTGTGTGTGAACTTTTATATATTTTTAATTTTAGAGAATGAAATCCATAGAGAATTAACGTTTTCTGTACCCTACGGCCTACGCAGTGAAGTGTCGTGACTATTGAGTCTTGGATTGCAGACGCACTATCCATCACTTTGCATTTTTATCCGTAATGGATTTTTTGTTTCCCCTGCAGATGGCTCATGCCCCTTCAGCTGCCCGAAAGCAGCCACGCGCCGCTACATCCAAAGCAGATGGGATATCAGATGAGGAGATTGAGAGACAGCTCAAAGCTCTTGGAGTGGACTAGTGCTCACACACACACACACACACACACACCTGATTACTGCCTGGCAACAGGAGGCGACCGCAACACACAAACACGCATTAGAGTACATTCATACCCAATACAAATACATAGCCACAGATGCTGATAAATGGATGGTCCAAAAGCTTACATTCACAGTCACGGACCTGCCTACTCTGGGATAACGTGCCACAGATGGCAAATGCAATTTTTTTTTAAAATTATTTATTTCTGACAATGAGAGAGATGACTATCGAAGTTGATTAGGACTCTTTCAGGTGAATCACTGTTTCATCTAGCAGTTAGAAGGACGAAAATAACAATAAAACATTTGAATACACACGTCGTGAATGAATACATGCAATGCCTTCCAGACTAAGGCGGATGCGTTCCCCTGAAATCTACAACATCTGTCTCTTTGATCCATAACTCAGAAAATCACATTGGTGTAAACAAGTTTGACAGGAGAACTCTACCTCTAAACATAAGTGACAGGGCTGCGTCTTTAGTCTTGCCGCGTTTTGTCTTGTCCTCACAGTACCTTGCTATTCTCTCGGCGCATAACAAAACACTTGTGTGAATCACACCTTTAGTTTCTGTTCTCACCTTCGGTGACTTTATGAATAGGAAATTATTTGGTTTGTCTTCTAGGTTCATTTTGGTTATTTTGAGTGCGCATATTTTATTCAGCTGCTTTTCAGGGGCGATGCCAAATTGTGAGAAGTGTGTTCCGGTTGAGCACATTATTTGAAGAGGGTTGCTCTCCTTCATTTCTCATGTGCCTGAGGTCTTGGGTTGACAGTGTGTGTTTTTTCTCTTGAGGCTGTGTAAGTGCATTGATCAAGACTTCAGAGATGCTCGGAAGGTTCCTGTTAATCGTCAGTTGTGACCAAAGTAAGGGTTGTTATTGCAGCGCTCTGTGCTTGATCTTTGGAATTATCCACAGAAGTTGTATTTAGGCTGACGTTGGTTATGCACTGCAATATATCGTGAGGATGTAAATAATGTAGGCATGGAAAGTTGATCGTTTATTGCTAAATCCACAGTGAGGGTTTTGGAATATGGGTGAGGATTTTCCTTTTTAGAATTTGTTCACTGACAGGTATTGTTCAAATATAAGGGGATTGTATACCCCATTAACCATGAATAAAATGTTTAATGATATCTCAGTGGTTTGTGTTTTGTTTTTATAGACAAGTGGGAAATTATGTTTAAGTATTCATTTACCACTGGAGGGCAGAGCCAAAACATGCTTAAATATTTATTTTATATATTCTTACCCATTTGAAAGAAATGTACACAACTGTTCAAAAAATTTGGGGACAGTTAGGGTTAGATTTTTAAACCGCATAAACACATTTCATTACACCAAATACACAAAATAATGTTCTTTTTAGCAGCATCATATGACCCCTTTAAAACAGCCCATGAAGATGAGATGGCCCTAGCGGAATGGCAGGTTAGTCTCCAGGGCAGTGGCCTCTCTGCTGCTTTGTAAGCCAGTGTAATGGTCTCCACTATCCAGTTTGACTATCTCTGTTCGACACTGGAGCACCTTTCTTCACACCACCATAGCAGACAAATAACTGGTCTGACTGTCGAAATTGAGAAGTAGAGCTCACATAGCACTTCAAGGCACGCACAGGACACAAAAGTTGGGCACTTGAATCAGACCCTAAAGAAGTCTGAAAAGAGGCCGGTCCAATGTGCTGGTTTATGAACTGAGGAAGAAGGACTTTCGAAAGAAAAGAAGGATTAGGTCGTAGATCCACCCCGGAATCGTCCGGCAACCAACGCAAGCACAATTTGTTAACAGACAGCGCGTGCAACTCACTGACTCATTTTGCAGATGCGATAGCCAACAAAAAAAAGCAGTCTTCAAGGACATCCATTTAATGTCAGTGCTTTGCAAGGCCTTAAACTGGGATGAGCAAAGGAACGTAAGCACAAGTGGCAGATCCCACACAGGGAAGTGAGGAGTCCGAGCAGGGTTCAGACGTCGTGCACCCTTCAGAAAACTGCAGACAAGACTGTGAGATCCAAGAGAAGATCGACCAACTGGAGCATGATATGCAGCAATCGTAGCGACGTAGGATGCCAGACCCTTGCCTCCAGCTGGGAGAGGAGGTCCTTCCTGAGGGTAAGTTTCCACGGATTGCCTGTCAGAAGTCTCAGCAACAAAGGGAACCATGGTCTGGCTGGCCAACGTGGTGCCTCGAGTAGCACTCTGTGTTTGCACAGGGAGATCCTGTGTAACGTCTCCCATAACAGAGGGATAGGTGGGAACGCATATAGTAGGCAGCTCGGCCACTCGTGAGACAGTGCATCCTGGCCCAAGGTACTGGACACTTCCGTCCTTACGAACAATAAACGACAGTGAGTGGTCATCTCATAGCCAGATCTCCTGCAACGAGAGGGAACAACACCCAGGGGCACTCCTGCCTTCAGAAACTCTACCTGTCCCCACCGCCTCAACACACGGATGCAACAGTGAGGAATTACAACCAGCCGATGGCGATGTCTGGTGGGATCTAGCCGCAAACTGTTGTTCCATAACTGTAGTGGTCTGAGGTGGAGTAAACCCAGGGGAATCACCACTGTGGCCGCTGTTAACATCCCTATTAGTCGCAGGACCACCTCGTACTGCAAAGACACACCCTGGCGAAAGCGAGCCAAAACTTGCAGAATGTTTGTCACACGTCCCTGAGACAGGGAGGCAGACATTAGGTGGGAATTCAGGGTCATTCCTATGAACGTAGTGGTCTGTGTTGGAATCAGACAGCTCTTTTTCTCGTTCACAGTAAAACCCAACTTCCACACATGTCTCAAAAGTAGTCTGGAGTCTTTCACAGCCTGCTGTTTCGTGGGGGCACAAAGAAGCCAGTCATCCAAATAGGGCAGAATACGCATACCTCTTATCCAAAAAGGAGAAAGAGCTGCGCTCACACACCTTGTGAAGACGCGAGGAGCAAGGGAAAGCCCGAAAGGTAGCACTTTGAACTGGTACGCTTGATTCAGGAAACTGAAACGCAGAACATTTCTGTGATGAACAGCAATTGGGACGTGAAAGTATGCATCTTTCAGGTCGACACTTACAAACCAATCGTCTGCTGTTACAGACCAAAGAACGTCGGCTGTGCGCAGCATTCGAAAAGCAAGGACCTTCAGGAACAAATTCAGGTGCCTCAAATCGAGAATTGGGCGAAAACCACCGTCCTTCTTCGGAACAAGAAAATATGTCGAATAGAACCCGTCTCCCTGAACGAGGGGATGGACTTTTTCTATGGCTCCCTTCTCTAACAGTGAACAAATTTCCAGAGAGAGAGCCATTGCACGAACTGCATCTCTGACGATTGTAGGAACAATTCTTGAAAATCTGGGAGGCCGAAACTGTAGAGTATATCCCCTGCTCAGAGTCGTCAAAACCCAGGGGTCTGCTGTGTTGGTCCTCCAGTACTCCCGCTGTTCTATAGAAAAACGATCCACCGCCGGCCTGAATGTCTCAAGCTTTATGTGTGCGACTTTTAGTGGTCGCAGGGGGGCACTGACGGGGTCCTCCTGGCACTGTAGATGAGGTGGCCGAAAAACTCTCGCATCCTCAGTAACACGAGATATTTGAGGGGGCTGTGACTGAGTTGTAGCGTGCCGGCGTAAACGTTGCTCCGATGTGGCATAGTGATGACGGGTCTGAACTGCTGGCATCCTAAAGGTAGGGTTGTACTGCACCTGCATCAGCTGACGAGTGGCCTCAGACAGCTTTCCCCTCTTTTCCAACAGTTCCGGAACATTAGGACCAAAAAGATGCCCGGGAACAAATGGAAGATCTCTCAAGGTTTTCTTACAGTCCTCAGGTTGCCGTGCTTGGGCAAGCCACACTTGGCAGCGGGCTGCCAGGAGCGTGGCTGTAAGACTACCCAGCTCGCGGGTCACATGGCCCATTGCCAAGAGAGCAGTTTGCAGAAACTGTGAAATAGAGGGATCAACATTTGCTGGTTCCAACGTACTGGTGGCAGCTAGAAGTAGCTGGCAGATTGTGTTTTCCGCACGAGTAATGTAGGCAACAGCCTCGTATGCCTTTTTTAGTAGGGAATCCGTACAACCACATTGAGCGCTGGGACATTGCACATTCCCTTTGTAGTGCCTCGTCAGGAGACACCACCAAAGCTGCAACAGGCTGCTCTATCTCCGGAGCACAACTCACCCCGATGGAATCTGCTTCAGCCATAGATGCTAGCATCCGAGCAATCTTTGAGTGCCGCTTAGGTGGACCAGAACCAGTGAGGGCATTTGAAAATTCAGCCACAAAATCTTTACATTGTGGCATGGCGAAGGAAGCCGCAGCTGTGGCCTGTCTGAAAAAAACATTCGTTTGGGCAGACTGGACCGGTGACTCATCAAGTCCTAGACGAGCAATTGCCATTCGAAGTACAGCCAAAGTATCATCGGAAGAGGACTGGGCCTGTCCAGATGACTGAACTGACCCTCCACTAGACCCCTCTGCTGCTGGATAACCAGTGAAAACATCCTGAGGAGATGGTTGTGCAGCAACATCTACAGCATCTCCGTGATCATGAAAAAAAGAATCTGAAGCACTCGTAGAAAGCACATCCATATCAGAATGAAAAACAAGGGGAATCGAGAGACTCTTCCCCAGTTCCCTGATTCTGAACATTCTCATCCTCCTGTGTCATCTTCACAGGTGTAGCAGATGTGACAGGCTGAAACAAGTGAAGCAGGCGTTTCAACTCTGCCATCTCTGAAGAAAGCACAGAAACCATCTTAGAAAGTGAATTTTCCTCAACATGCGAATGTTCATCACTTCGCGATGTGGCCCTCTTCTTAGATGGGAGGGGAGCGCCGGCTGCCGCGGATGCCTTGCGCTTCCTAGTTCGCTAAGGGGCTTCATCCAACTGCCAGAGTTTCAACGTTGAATTGGCGTCTAACTCCGCAAGACGGAGCCTAC